AAGCCGTGTACCTGCTTCCGAGGCTAGACGACTTCAGATCGCCTCGAGAAGGCTTCAGGAGGCCTCAAGAAGCCCTAAAGATGGCCCAAGACACCTTCAAGGGAGCCCCCAGGTGGCCCCAAGACTGCCCGAGAACCTTCCAAGACGACTCAGGAGGTTCCAAGACGGTCCAAAGACCCGCCGAGACGTCCCCAAGCTTGTCCAGAGGAGCCTCTTCGCAAGAGCTTGGCGGAACCATGGCGCCCAAAACGACATCGAGATCCCCGACGGGCCCCCGACTGGCCCCCAACTGACTCCCAACACAACAGGCCCACAGGAGAGCCCCAAGGTCCCAAGAGGCTTCAGACAAGCTCCCAAGAAATCTACAAGATGCGTTCAAGAGTGAGTAGGGAGGAGGGGGGGAAGAAGAGGAAAGCAGAGGAAAGAGAGAGAGAAAACGGGAAAAGACCTGCGCGAGTGCAGACATAGCACTGAACTGTAGCGGGTCGTAAAGTCAATATCCTCATCAGCATATTCCTTCTCGTGCGTGGCTCTTTCTTTGCCTGGTTTCGCTTCCTCGCGGAGGTAGGGCAAGCAGCCCGTGGAGAGGCGAAGGAGATTGAGTTCAAGACCCGCGCCAGTTCGGAGATTGAGTTCAAGACCCGCGACATTTCAGATCTTGGGAGGGAGGAGAGTAGACAGGGAGCTGGACTGGAGTTGATCTCACACTCAACCTATCACCTGTGGCGATACTGCGCTGGCACGGTGGCGAGACTTGCCGCAGGCAGCTGGATACATATCCACAGCCTGGGAACTCGATGTCGAGGGACCCTAGAAAGGAATGGATTTGGATATGCTCGGGCCCCTCTGGGGACCGATCATATCGGGATGCACTGCCTCCTGGGGTCCCTGGCGATCAGGTCTCCAGGCGGTGGCGGACATGCTTAAACTCTAGCCTTGGAAGAGCGACCCCTGGTGCACGGTTTGCCGATCGTTGCATGCGATGCGACAGCAGCTGCCTGCCCGCTTGGGTTTTGCGCCCCCCTGCCCCCCGAAAGCGGCGCACCAAAGGCACGGCTGGCGAAGAACCACTCTTGCGCCATGGCCGGAGGGCGGGCTGAGCCAGGTCAGCCGGGGCGGCGGCGATGCATCCGGCTCCCGAGAGCGGGTCAGCGGAGGGCGGGGGGAAGGGCGGGGGTGGACTCTGCAGTTGGGGCTGATTGGAGAGGACACGAGGGAGGGCACAAGACCCGTCCGAGGGCCACATCGCCACATGAGTGCAGAAGGCATGGGTCGCGAAACACAAGCCACGAGGGTGCCCTGGATTTAGCAGGGTCGACCTACGGATCCGCCTCGACTGCGCCGCGTGGACCCCGAGCAGGGGAGAGGCCGATCCTCCTCAGGGCTGACCCCAACGGCCATCAGCGTCGCCATCTTGTCGTGACGTGGGCCCCAGGATCTCCACCCCTTCCTCCTCCTCCTCCTCCTCCTCCTCCTCCTCCTCCTCCTCCTCCTCCTCCTCCTCCTCCTCCTCCTCCTCCTCCTTCCCTGGGGCCGGCTTTCGTCATGGGCAACATTGTCGAAGGCCCGGGGGCACCGTGGGGGCCCCCAGAGCCCGAGAAAACTGCCCAAAAAAACGTCCCGTTGCCGTCTTACACGACGCCAGAGGTTCTGGGCCAAATGGAAGAGGCCCACAAACACACAAATAAGTACACGCAAATAAAATGATTCCCCATATTTTCACATATGTTCTGAGTTTTTGTCTTCCCCCCCACTTCCCATATTTTCCCATATTTTCCTGGGAGTGGACGATTAATTGTGTCTGTGTGTTTTCTCCCCTCCTGACAAATGTGCGTCCATGGCCTGAACTTCGGCCGCCGCTGGTCGACGCTTCGCTCCCGGCCGACGTCGCCCGCGGCCGGCAATGAGGGGGCCGAAAGAGGCCACAGGGTCCAGGCCCGAGCGGCCCCCGGGGTCCCCACAGAATTACGCAGAAGGCACCCGCAATCACACCCCGAGCAGCGGATCGACTACATCATTGACTTACCCCAGACTTGACTCCAAACCCGACGAAGAAAAAAAAACACGTTTGGGGCCAAGCAATTCTGCAGTCGATCCCCTACTCGAGCACCACCACCAAGTATGTCTGGCCAGGGCCACCCTGGGCCCTGGCCCCCGAGGTCAGGAGGGCCCGTGCACCATCCCAGGGGGGTGGCCCTTGCCATGCAGGGTGGTGGCGCTAGGGGAGCTGCGCTCCCCCCTGAGGGGCAACGATAGGCGGGGGACTCGCATAGGGTTAGGTCGGGCATGTCCCCCTGCAGGCGGATTTTGGACGAGAAATTAAAAATACTCAAAACATACCCCAAAGTTTTCAAAATCATTGTCAAACAAATCGTCTCGGGGCGGCCCCTGGGGGTCCGCGGACGAAAAGTACCCCGGCAAGGTCCCGGCAAGTCCCCGGCAAGTCCCCGGCAAGTCCCCAGCAAGGTCCCGGCAAGGTCGGGTCAGAGATGCCGGACTTCTGTTTCGGAGTCCAAGAGGGCTCCAGATCGGTCCAAGAGGGCCCCGAGAAGCTTTCTAGACGGTCCAAGAGAGGCCCGAGACGGCCAAAGATCGCCCGAAGACGCCCCAGATGGCCCCAAGACAGCCCAAGAGGCCTCCAAGACGCTCCAAGGGCCTTCCAAGAGGCCTCCGAAGAGGGCCCCAAGTTGCCAAAATCGTTGATTTTCATTGGTTTTTCTATGTTTTTTTGCGTTCTGGCCTTTTCGCTTCCGGACGCTCCAAGAGGGCCCAAGAGGCCTTCAAGACTGCTCCAAGACGGCCCACGAGGCTCCCAAGACGGCCCCGGAGCGGCCCAAGAGCGCCCCCCAGACGGCCCAAGTGCTGCCCAAGGCGGACCAAGAGGCCCCAAGACGGGCCCAAGAGGGGCTCAAGAAGGGAACCGAGAACTGAAAAATCGAGCCCTCCGCCCCAGAAGGCGCCCAGGACCCCGAAAGAGGCCCCAAGAGACTCTCCAAGATACCCCCAAGACGCCCCAATAAGCTCCCGTGAGGCCCCAAGAGGACCAACAACGTCAGGCCCCAGGCCCCAAGAGGACCAACAAATACCGCCAAGAGCCCGCCGAAAGCCCCCCAAGAAACCGTCACGAGAGCTCAGGAGGCCCCCTGGAGGCCTCTCGAGTTCTCCAGGCCTAAAAAGAGGCGCCAAGAGGCCCCAACGAGGCTCCAAGAGGCCACGAACGCGCAAGCAAACGCCTGCGATGGCACAATACGGGCCGGCGGAATGAGCGAAGCGATTAAATAATTGTCAAACAAATCGTCTCCTGACTATGTTTGATTATTTTCTACTACTCCTCCTGTAGAGGGACGCGCCCGACTTCAGCTTAGGGGGGGGATGCGTCGACCTGGAATCGGCGATACATTGCCGATAGATCGGCGATAGGCCCCCGATGGTGAATCCGCAGGTGGGAGTTATCGGGTGCAGGGCCCCCCTGTGCAGGGCCCCCCTGTGCAGGTGGATCCCCGATAGGCCTCCTGTGCAGGTGGGAGTTATCGGGTCCCGATCGGCGATCCATGGGCGATTGGGGGTCGATGCGTCCCCCCCTGTGCCGGTCCCCCCCTGTCGTTGCCGTCGACCCCCGCCCTCCGTCGTATCGACGATTTCTCGAGAGGGGTACCGAATTCCGAGGGTTCCCCCAGGGGGGCACGCTCCCGAAAAATATGGCTGTTCCGACACATGCTTCCCTCGGACCGATGAGCCACGAAAAGAAACGGGTCTTGCGTTAGATCGGGCATGTCCTCCTACAGGCGGTTTCTGGGCGAAAATTGAGGCACATACCCCAAAAAAACTCCAAAAACAATCAAACATTGTCAAACAAATCGTCCCCTGACAACTTTTTTACTATTTTTGAACTTCCCTCCTGTAGAGGGACAGGCCCGACTGAAGTCTTGCGCGAGACGGCATGGCGACCCCACGCCGGGGCCTGCGCGGGACGCCGGCGCGGCACGCGACACCGGAAGCGAGGGCGCCTGCGCACGACCTTGCGCGGGCAGCTCACGCGCCAACGTCGGCGAAGACGAACCCGTTTCCTTCCGTCGCTCACGTGTTCAGCACCACGGCCCGAGACACGCGTTGAGCGGGCGAGGGGAGGCCAGGGAACGCACTGGAAGAAGAAGAAGAAGGAGGAAGAAGGAGGAAGGAGCAGAAGCAGAAAACACAAAGCAAAATATAATGGCAATATTCATAATAATCCATCAACAACAACCACAACAAAAGCAACAACAACAACAACAACAACAACAACAACAACAACAACAACAACAACAACAACAACAACAGCAGCAGCAGCATCAACAGCCGCAACAACAACAACTGCAGCAACAGCAACAGAAACAGCAACAACAACGACAATAACAGCAATAACAACAAAAACAGCAGCAACAACAACAACAACAACAAGAACAACAACAACAGCAACAACAACAATAACAACAGCAGCAGCAATAGCAATAGCAATAGCAACAACAACGACAACGATAACGACAACAGCAGCAACAACAGCAGCAACAACAACAACAACGATGACGACATTGACAACTACAACGACAACGACGAAAACCACAACAACAACAACAACAACAACAACAAGAACAACAACGATAACGATAACGACAACGACAACGACAGCAGCAACAACAACGACGACAACGACAACAACAACCATGACAACAGCAACAACAACAGCAGCAACAACAACAGCAGCAACAACAACACAGGATCGAATACAACACAGGAGCAAAAACAACAACAAATTGAATAAGAAGAAACATAAATTTAAACCAAAAATGCAAGAAGAAGAAACATAAACACAAGAAGAAGAGGGTGGGCTTGAAATCTGGGCCTCCCTCACGCGCCTCTAGGAGGCCTCCAGAGGGAGGGAGGAGGACGTGGGCCGCACTGGGCCTGGAGCCTGCGGGCCCTGGGGGGCAAGACGGAATCGCGGCGCGCGAAGGATTCGAAGCTCAGGGCCCACATGTAGGCCGTCTGCTCGTTGTTCGCGGCGCCGCCGTGGCCGCCCTCGATATTTTCCCAGTAGAGGACCTTCTGCGCCGCCTCGGGGACGTCCAGAAGCTTGCGCACCATCTTGCGGGCGTGCGCGGGGTGCACGCGGTCGTCCTTCGTGGAGGTCGTGAACAGCACGTGCGGGCAACCGCCCCACCCGGACCCCTCCCTGAGGCAGTCGTCGAGGGAGTGGTACGGCGAGTACCCGCGCAGGAACTCCCAATCCTACCAGGGGCAGCGTCTGGGGGGGGCAGCTCAGAGGGGGAAGGGGGGAGAGGAGGAGGAGGAGGAGGAGGAGGAGGAGGAGGAGGAGGAACGACCAGTGCAAACCGAAGAGTCATCAACGATGTTGGAATTAACCATCCCTCCAAGCTCCCTCTTCATAAGCCCCTACAACGGTTCATTTCCATTGAGGGAACGGCCTCGTTGGAAAAAGAACCTTGAAGACCCTGAAGCATGCCAAAACATTGTTCTCGGGATTTCAACGCCACGGATCGACCTGACAGCTGCGTCTTGACGATCCAGAATCATGCCAGAACGCCATTTCTGGGACTTCAACACCGCGAATCAACTAAACTGGTACACCCGCATAACCCTGAATCCTTCCAAAAAACCATTTATGGTACGCTGATCATGGGAATCCGTGAAACTCTTTCAAAGTTTATGAACGAATGTGCGCGGCGCTAAAGCGAAAGCCACATCTTGAAAACCAGCCGCCCTCAATCTGTGAAACTCTTGCACATGTTTAAAACGAATGTGCGCGGCGCTAAGGCGATAACCACATTTTAAAAACGATCCGCCCTCAATCCGTGAAAGTCTTGCATCTTTTAAAACGAATGTGCGCGGCGCAAAATTGAGAGCCACATCTTGAAAACCAGCCGCCCTCTATCCGTGAAACTCTTGCAAATGTTTAGAACGAATGTGCGCGGCGCTAAGAAGAGAGCCACATTTTGAAAAGAGCCCATTAGGAAAATGAATGGAGGAGGAGGAGGAGGAGGAGGAGGAGGATCCCACCCCCCCCGGCGCTGCCCCTGGTCCTCCGGCTTGTCGGGGTCCCCGTACTCCGCCACCCACGAGGCGCCGGCCAGCAGCCGGTGGTACCGCCGCATGTCCAGCAGCGGCACCCGGCACACGACCGCGCCGAAGAGGCGGGCCCCCTCCCGCACGAGCATGTTGCCCACCAGCAGGCCGCCGTTGGAGCCCCCCAGGCAGGCGAGCCGCTCCGGGGACGTGAGGCCCGTGCGCTGCAGGTCGCGCGCCACCGCCTCGAAGTCCTCGTAGGCCTTGTGGCGCCGCTCGCGCAGCGCGGCCTGGTGCCAGCGCGGCCCGAACTCGCCCCCGCCGCGGATGTTGGCCACCGCGTACGCGCCGCCCTGCTCCAGCCACCCAACCCCGTAGACGGCGGAGTACGCAGGGAGCCGGGAGATCTGGACTCGAAGAAGAGAGAGAGGGAGAACGGCACGTGCGCCATAGACTTTCGGCGCTCTTGGAGCGGAGGTCTGGGATCGGCGCGGGGCCCCCCCCGGCGGCGCCTCCCCGGGAGGGGGGCCGAGCGCCGATCCCAGACATCCGCGCGGAGCTTCGAAAGTTTGCGCCTGTGCAGTTTGCTCTTCTTCGCCTGGAAGCCGCCATAGCCTGCCAGGATGGTCGGCGTGGACCCGTCGCCCGGCACGGCCTTGGGCCGGACCAGGAAGTAGGGCACCTGCGTGCCGTCCAGGGAGGTCGCCATGCGCTGCTCCACCTGCAGCCCCGAGGCGTCGAAGAGGGCCGGCTTGGCCCACAGCTCCAGCGGCGCGGCCGCGCCGTCGGCGGCGGAGGCCAGCTGCAGCGTGTCCGGCTGCAGGTAGCCGTCCGACGTGATCCAGATGTCGTCGCTCGAGTGCTCCCAGACGGCCGACACGCCCACGTCGCGGCCGATGGGCAGCGCGTCCGCGCCTCCACTCCTCCGCGCCCAGCGGCCCCCGCCCTCGTAGCGCCAGAACTCCAGCTCCTTCCGGACATTGTCCAGCACCTCGTGGGGGGGGGGCGCAAGAGTCGGGCAGGGGCAGAGGTGGAGTCTCACAGTGGGAGCTCGACCACAAGAAGCCTTCCACCAGAAACCAAAACCCTGAGGCACCAGGGCGCCCCTGGATCTGGGGTGTGGGAACGTCACGCTCTCCATGGCGAAGACATCGAAGCCCAAGAAACCCAGGGCCCCCTGGAGGCAAGCAGGGTGTTTCTTCGCATGGGCCGCCACTGTAGAGGAGCATCACCCAGAAAAGGCCCGTGCAGGAGGGAGCTGGAAGTATCCGTCTGGGTATGCTCCCTAACCCCACCTCGGGACAAACCCTCCAACCCCCTCGACGAGTCCCCCCGAGCACCGTCACCACCAGGAAGCTCCGCGTCCCCGCTGGGAATTCGCGCGGCAGGGAGCGCCGGTCCGTGGGCTCGAACAGCACCTGGATGCCCCCCAGGCTCCCGGCGGCCAGGTCCTCCAGCCGCATGCTGAGCAGCGACCCTGCCTTGGGTCGCACAAGGGCATGCTAAAGGCGCAGGCCCGACGCGAACATGTAACACAACATCTTGTGGTATGTCGTGTCCCGAGGGGCATTGGCCAGAAAGCGCCCGCCGCGAAGCTGCATACTGCAAGAGGTTCGAGCGAGCGCGTCGCCCCTGCGTGGCCGACGCACACACAGCATCAGCATGTTTGGGCGGTGCCGCTGCCTTGTACACGAGGCCCGGCCTCACGGCCCAGTCCGAACGCAACTTGATGAGGCAGGCGTCTGCGAACGTGCCCACGGACGCGTCCTGCGGCGCGGGCAGGCGCGTGAACTCGCCGCTGGCGCCCCCGGGAGCCCCGCGCCGGTACAGCCTCTCCGACGCGAAGAACGTGAGCGCGCGGGAGCGGAACTCGTGCCAGTGCCCCCGGTCGTAGTAGAGGTGGCCGCTGACCGACACGTCTCCCTCGGCGCCCTCGAACACCTGCTCGGCCGAGGCCAGCGGCGTGCCTCGCCGCCACGCCCGCACGGTGCGCGGGTAGCCAGAGCTTCGGAGCGGGGCGAGTGGAGACGGCGGCAGCTCCCAAGCGACCCCTGGGCCCTGGACCCCCCCCCCCAGGGCCCGAGCGCACCAGTTCTCCGAGCTGCGTCCCGCCGTGGCGCCGAGGGGGCCCCCCCAGAGCCTCCTCCTCCTCCTCCTCCTCCTCCTCCTCCTCCTCCTCCTCCTCCTCCTCCTCCGTTGTCTCCACTCGCCCCGCTCTGAATTTGGTCAGAGAGCCCTCGCCGAAGTCGGTGCCCACCAGGAGCTCGTCCCGGCCCCGCCAGCTCACGCGCGTTTTGGCCGTGGGCACCACGAAGCCGCCCTCCGCCTCGGGGACGAAAGCCTTCGCCACCAGGTCGAACTCGCGCACGGCCGCCGCGTCGGACCCGCCCGGCGAGAGGTGGAGCAGCACGCGGTCCCATCGCGAGTCAGGGCCCTCGTTGAGTGCCGTCTTCCGGGGGCGGCCAAGAGGGGGGAGACGTCCAAGAGGAGGGGGGCGGCATGTGCACGGCCTAGGGGCAGGGGCCAGGGACGGAGTGAGATTGAGAAGAGACGCCATGAAAGCTGAGGAAACATCATGGCTCACGCCATTGTATCCACCCCCCCTGCAGTCAACCCGTACAGGAAGGATGCGCGACACGGATGCAAGGGCCTTGGACGCTCATTCCGAAGCTTTTCGAGCGGGGCGCGGCCAGCGAAAGTGGCCAAGGATGGGCCGAAGGGGCAGGGATGTAAGGGTATCCTTAGGAAGGTTGCCCATCCTTATCATGCGGGTTGACTGTAGTCATCACACCCCGCGTGGCCGCCCCCGAGTCTTTCCCTTCCAGACCCAGGACACGCCCTCGTCCCTGGCGAGGGCATCGAGCGGAGGAGGGCCAGTAGAGGCCAACGGCGGCCCTCTCTCGGCCAAAGTTTCGCCCCTCTGGGGCCGCCTGGAGGCTTCTCGTCGCCGCAGCTGGCCCCGCCTCGAAAAACAAACATGAATACAAAGGAGGCCAGTCCACAAGAAACCTTCCACAAGTAACCCAACCCTGAGACCCCAGGACGTTCCTTCATTTTTGGGGTGGGAACGCCACGCTCTCCATCGCAAAACCATCGGAACCCAAGAAATCCAGGGCACCCTGGAGCGCGTTTCTTTATGTTCGGCGATGACGGGCGTCATGGGGGGGGGGGGAGGGCGGGGGGGGGTATGACGTGACGCCCCCCCCCGCCGAGTGGCTCCGGCACCACAGCCGCGCCCGCGCGCACGACGCGACGAGCGACGAGCGACGAGGGACGACGACGACGCGAGCAGCATGTAAGTGGCGATCTGCCCATTGCGCCTGTGTACACCACAACGCTCGTGTGCACCACACCGCGCGTGTGCACCACAGCGCCTGCGTACACCGCAACAGCAGTGTGCAGTGCACCGCCCGCGTATACCACAATATTTGGGAGCACTACAGCGCCGGTGTACATACACCGCAGCAGCCATGTGCAACACAACGCCTGTGTACACCACAGTGCTTGCGTGCACCGCAGCGCCTGTGCACGCCACAGCGCCTGTCTACACCACAGCATCCGCGTGCAACGCAACACCGGTGTACACCACAGCGCCTGCGTGCACAGGACAGGTAGAAGGAACATGTACGTCAGGATCTGCTGCGGACAACTAAACGCCACGCCAGGAAAGTTCTGAGAATCGAATACGACATGTTTCCCCACATCCTCCTCCTCCTCCTCCTCCTCCTCCTCCTCCGCCTCCTCCTCCTCCTCCTCCTCCTCCTCCTCCTCCTCCTTTTCCTCCTTCTTACCCCCTGTCGTGCGGCTTGGCGTTACAACGCACGTGCGCATCTCAGCGTGCACCGCAGAATGGTTGATTGAATCGGTCCACTTGGTTCTCGGACGGCCAGTTTAGCTGGAGCCTCCTGGACGCAAATGGGAGTTAGGGTGATGCGGGCGGACTCGGGGAGACTCGTAGATTCCAGCGGCGCTCCTTTGTCCACGAGGCATTGTTTTCCATTGTTTTCTCTGGAATCCACACACGCTCCATTTTGTCACAAGGATCCCTTCTGAAATTCTATACCCAACAATGGTGCTGTGTTGCACACGGTTGATGTGGTGCACACAGGCGCCGTGGCGTACCCAGGCATTGCAATGCACGCAGGCATTGTGGTGTACACTGGTGTTGTGTTGCGCACGGCTGATGTGGGGTACGGAGGCGCTGTGCCGCATGCACGGTGGCACAAATTGACGCTGTGTTGCACGCGGCTGCTGTGGTGTACATCGGCGGTGTGGTGTACACAGGCGCTGCGGTGCACGCGGGCACTGTGATGTACACAGGCGTTGTGGTGCATATCGCCACCTACATGTTCGTGCTACCCGTCCTCCGTCATTCCTAAGCATTCACAGACGCCGCCGTCGCGAAACGTGACGTCATCGACCCCCTCCCCCCCCAGATGATTGCCGTCATCGGCCTGGACTAAAAAACAGGCTCCAGCCGCGTCCGCGCGCACGACGACGATGAGCGACGAGCGACGAACCACGAGCGACGACGACGGACGACGACGACGACGACGACGACGACGACGACGACGACGACGACGACGACGACGACGACGACGACTCCTGCGGACCAGACACCTATACGGATTCCTACGCGGACACCTACGCGGATCCCAGTGCGCACGGCGGCAGTGCCCGGAGCGCACTGGGGGGGGGAGCGTTACGTCATAGGGGGGGGGGAGCGGGGGCCATGACGCCCGTCATGCCCCAGGCAATAAAGAAACGGGCTCCTGGAGGCGAGCAGGGTGTTTCTTGGCATGGGTCTGTACTGCAGACGATCTCAAGGCAAGATGAGTAGACAGTCCCAAGGCAACGCAGCAGGAGTCAGAACACTCGTTGTTCTATCAGCGCACAGGCGCTCGTTTAGAAACTGCCGGCTTCGTGCCAAAGGCTGCGGTGAATGGACAAACGAGGAAGCATGCACGAGCGGAGACTGGAGGTCAAAAAGGGGAAGAGAGGGACGACGCCCATGCTGCACCATGCGGCGATGTAACACTAATTCGCATCCCTCCCAGCTCGAACTGATCGCTGGAAGGACGTTGCGCGAAGGGCTGCGCCGAAACGTGCCGGTGCCCACGAGGAGGAGGAGGAGGAGGAGGAGGAGGAGGAGGAGGAGGAGGTGTTCTCCTCGTGTGCGTTTTTTCTTCAGGATGGACCCCTGGAGGGGTCTGGGGACCGATGTTGGGCGGACCTTGGGCCCTGGGCAGGCGAGCCGCCGTTGCCTCCACTGGTCCCCCTTCGAGATCGAGGTCGAGGACGTCCTCCCACTCCGGGCGCCCCGTGCGGTAGCTCTCCTGGTGGGCAGATTTTCCACCACGACTACCATGGGTAGGAGGAGGGAGGGAGGGAGGTAGGGAGGGAGGGAGGGAGGGGAGGGAGGGAGGGGGGGAGGGGGAGGGAGGGGGGAGGGGGAGGGAGGGAGGGGGGGGAGGAGGAGCAGGGGAGGAGAGGAGGAGGAGGAGGAGGAGGAGGAGGAAGGAGGAGAGAGGAGAGAGGAGAGAGGAGAGAGGAGGAGGAGACAGGAAAGGGAGGACGAGGAGGAGGAGGAGGAGGAGGAGGAGGAGGACCTCTCCATCCTCCCTTCTCCCCCGTCCTACCTATGGTAGTGATGGTGGACAGTTGACCCCGCATCATCTCCAGGGTCGTGCGCCGCCAGACGCCCTGGGGGTGCGCCGCGTCCCTCCAGAAGTTGTAGTACCGGTCCCCCAGGCGGCTAATGTACGGGATCTTGTCCTCGAGGGGGAGCGCTCCGGGGGGGGGACGGCTCAGGGGGGGAACTCCTCCTCCTCCTCCCTCCTCCTCCTCCTCTCCTCCTCCTCCTCCTCCTCCTCCTCCTCCTCCTCCCTCCTACCTCCTCCTCCTCCTCCTCCTCCTCCTCCTTCCTCCTCCTCCTCCTCCTCCTCCTCCTCCTTCCTCCTCCTCCTCCTCCTCCTCCTCCTCCTCCTCCTCCTCCTCCTCCTCCTCCTCCCCTCCTCCCCCTCCCCCTCCCCCCTCCCTCCCCCTCCCCCTCCCCTCCCCCCCCCCTCCCCTCCCCTCCCCCTCCTCCTCCTCCTCCTCCTCCTCCTCCTCCTCCTCCTACCCTCCTCCTCCTCCTCCTCCTCCTCCACCACCTCCCCCTCCTCCTCCTCCTCCTCCTTCTCCTCCTCCTCCTCCTCCTCCTCCCCTCCTCCTCCTCCTCCTCCTCCTCCTCCGCCTCCTCCTCCTCCTCCTCCTCCTCCTCCTCCTCCTCCTCCTCCTCCTCCTCCTCTCCTCCTCCTCCTCCTCCCTCCTCCTCCTCCTCCTCCTCCTCCTCCTCCTCCTCCTCCTGAATGGGCGATTTGGGGTCGATGCATCCCTCCCTGAGCCTACCCCCCATGACGCTGCCCTTGAGCCTCCGCTCCCTAGCTTCCTGGCCATAACTGAGGCTTCCAGCGGCCGCTTGGGGCGGTGCCAGCACCCGCGGAACGCCCTCGACGAGGCGCAGCTGATGGCGTCCGAAAACTTGTTTGGGAGCATTTGCAACCTTCCGAAAACTTGAGGCCCCATCCCCAACACGGCACCCCCACCCGCCGGAGCCCATCCCCCCCCCCTGACGCTGCCCCCGAGTCCTTGGTGTTGAGGGCGGCCAGGATCCGCCGGTAGGGCTCGGTGCCCCTGGGGTCACCCAGCGCCTCCACCGCGTGCTCGTCGGCGGCGCGCAGAAGAAGCCGGCAGGACGAGGGCGGGGGTGGTTCCCCCCGGGAGGGGAGGGGCTTCGGCCCCTGCGTCCAGGGCTGCGCGAGAGCGTCCAGGGCACGGCAGGAGGGCGTCGGAGAGAGAGCGGGAGTGCCCTCGCCCCCGGCCCCCCTCCATGGAGGCGGCAGCAGTGTTTGATCGGCGGCGTCTCGGCTCCGAGTTGCGGCCACGCACCGCCACGGCTGCGCCACACGTCGGTCGGAAGAAGTAGGTGAAAATATGAAGTAGGAAGGCGGACAGAGGATGCACCAAGCCCGGGGAGACAAGGCCGTGTGCCAGGGAGCCGGGCAGGCCCGCGGGAGCCGAGCAGCGCGACTCCGAAGGGGCCTTGGGGTACATAAATGAAGACACACAAACCCCAGGATACACACATATGTTTTCCCATATGTTCTGGGTGTTCGTCTTCCCCCACACACGCACACACACACACTTCCCCTATTTTCACACATTCTCCGGGGGATCGACGGTTGATTGTGTCTGTGTGTTTTCCCTCCTGGGACTCGACTGATTAGCAACTCAGGGACCCCTGACCCCGTGGGGCGCGGACCTAAGTTAGGGAGACCAAAACCTCAGGGATAGGGACCAAACGCCTTGGGATGACCTTAGGAGTAACGCGACTCAATTGATTAGCGCTTCAGGGACCCCTGACCCCGTGGGGCGCGGACCTAAGTTAGGAGGACCAAAACCCTAGGGATTCGGACCAAAACCATTAGGAAAGACTCAGCAGTACCAAAACCTAAGACAGCATATGTATCCAACAACACCACCTACTCTTCTTATCCCTGATGTAAAGACGGGGACATGAGTTAGAATACGTCTGTACTGTGTTATCAGGGTTTGGGGTTCTTTCATTGTCGATGACCAGTGGTGACAGTGGACACCCCATACCCTGATTTACCGACGGGCTGGTCTGCGCACCTCCCAGGGTCTCCCGATGGTGAGTCTCCAGCCCTTCGAGACCCCCCCTGACGGCGCGCGCGGATAGACGACCTCAGATCCACGCGACGGACATGACAACGGCCCAGCGTCGAACCTCAAAGCAAGTGGATACCGCGACAGAGCCAAGAAACGAAGCAACTAAACCCATCGACCCAAAACCTGAGCTTGTAAAGCAGATCGCTGTTTCCGGAAACGCCGCTGGCGGTTGAGTAAACCCCGAGGGCGGTATGGTAAACGCCGCGTGTCGCTCGATCAACCGAACAAGGGGGACACATTGGCGTTCACATCGAGCAGGTGGGGGAGCGAGACGCACTCAGTGACACGCGGGAGGTCTCACCCATCGGTCGGAAGAAGTAGGTAGAAACATGAAGTATGAAGGCGTTGAGAGTAGATCGGGCTGAGGCCATCCCAGAGAACCACAAAACACCGTAAAAGCACATCGATTCTTGAAGTGGGAATGCGCTTGAAATAGACCGGGATCTGGGAATCCACAGACACCTACTTTCAACAACCGGCGTGCACTGAGGCCAAAGTCGGGTTCCCGAGCTAGCTGGGCCAGCAAACTGAGCGCCCGAATCGGAGAAGCAACCGCCCGAGCTGTTGGAAGCTTGGACAGGGCACCAATACCAACACCAGGGGTTGCCTCCACGGAAGATGATCCTGGGTTTCAGTGTTGCTGGTAATCTTTCGGCCACCCAGAAAGCCCGAATATTGCCACCATCACCGAGATCGGGATCATCTTCCATCGCTGGAAGCACACCGCCGATGTCGGTGTTGGCGTCAACCTCTACGCCTCCGATCATGGACACGTGGGCGTGCTTCGCCGCCGCAGCGCCGCTCGGCGCTACGGCCGCTGGCCCCGCAGAGGCTGCCGCGCGAGAGGCGCCTGGGAGGCCAGGGGCCTCACGCGGAGAGCCAAGCTCGCTCGGCGAGCCCGCGGCGGGTCCACGGGACGGCGCCTCGGCAAAGCAGGGTGCGGCGGGCTCGGGAACGCCCGGGTCAGCCAGGCTTCTTGCAGGACCCCGCGGGATTCCGCAGCATCCGGCGCGCAGGCCCGGGTCAGTGCACCCCTGGCCCTGCGGGACCCTGCAGGATCCGGCGCTCTGGCCGACACCCGTTTGCATGGACCGCCGTCTCTTACGGCTCGACAGGCTCGTGTCGTCACGACTCCGGCGTTGGTTCCCGACCCCTAGCGTAAGCCAGGGCAGGTGCGCGTCCGGAGCGACAAGAAACAGCATTCGCACAGGCTCACGGAGCTCCGCGCGGAGCTCCGAAAACTTATGCTTTTGCAGTTGTTCCTTCTTTGAGCTCCTGCCATCGCTCCGACGTCCATACCCCGTGAATTGTTTGGCTCCGTGCGTGTTCGTTTTCCCGATGATCCACGATGTTAGAAGATGGCCCAGGAGAGCCGCACACGTCCGAACCAGGCAGAATGATCCTGAGCATCGTTTGACCGATCCCTATTCCCACGGGCGTGGCCTGGGCCCCCACTGGCCGATGTACCTCCCTGGATGGGAGGACATAGGCTGCTCCCTTCGAGTTTCGAGGGGCATATCCCCGACTGGGGCGGTGGGATGGTGTGGATCGGCAAAGGAACGGGGAAGGGTCGATACTGAGACCCTCGAGATGAAGCATTGCGCTGGCCTCGCCGAGACCACAGGCACATGCCCGAGCGCTGCTGGGCGCTCGCCTGCGCCCCCTGCGAACTCCTCTGCGCGCCGCCCGGCTCGTTCCTGCCCCTCACCCACTCCAGAGCCCGGTCGCCGAGCACGTCCTCCAGCCACAGGTGGGGGTCGCTGGGGGGCGCGGCGGACGCGGCGGGCGCGGGCTCGGGCTGGCAGCGCGCGGGGCCGCCTCTGGGAGGACGACGACGACGACGACGACGACGAAGAAGACGACGACGACGACCACCACAACCACGACCACGACCACGACCACGACCACGACCACGACCACGACCACGACCAAGACCTCGTGCCGTCACTCGAGAGCGGCTTTCGTATGCGTATATTTTTGGGTCCGCGAGGGTTGCCAGAGGCAGACGGATCCACCACAGCACCGCAGAGCGGCCTGGCTGGGCGCAAGCCGAGCGAGGGGATCCACCGCAGAGCGACTCAAGATCTAGGACCATCGGACCTTACGCCTCGTACTGCGCGAAGCGAGAGGAGCGGTCGCCTTCGTGCCACCTCGCGCCCACGCCCTGGAGCACCCCGGCAGCACGGACCGCGAAGCGCGAGGCGAGGACCGCCCTCCTCCGCGGAGACCCAGGACACGCATGGCATGCCTCCAACGCGTTGCCCCCTGAGTCCCCCGCGCCTCCGCGCGCGCGGCTCCTGAGCGGCGCCCGCGGCGCCGCGCCGAGGGGCCGCCGGGGGAGGTCCCACGCCGGCCCGCAGCAGCGCTGGGCCAGCGGCAGCGCCGCGCCCACGGCGGCGCCGACGAGGGCCGCGCGCGGCGGCGCCATGGCGCGCGCGCGCGCACGGCGGCGGCGCCTCGCGGAGGCCCTGCAGCCAAGGACGGCTGAGGGCCTGCGGCCGACGGCTCGGGCGTGCTGTGCGGGGCCTCGCCGGAGAGCACCCGTGCTCGATGGGGGTCGGGGGCTGGGGCCTCGCACTCGTGGGGGCTCTGGGAGGAGGCCGCGAGGGGAGCGGAGGTCGGAGGCGCGTGGCGCCCGGCTGTCTGGGCCCTCTCCTGGAGGCCTCCCCTGGGGCCTCTCTCGAGCTGGCCCAGGAGGCCTGATTGGCATCTGCCCTTGAGGTGCTCTTGCGAAAGGGGAGGGGAGGGGGAGGGGGAAGGGAGGAGGAGGAGGAGGAAGAGGAGGAGGAGCAGGAGGAGGGGGAGGAGCAGGGGGGGATGGAGGAGGAGGAGGAGGAGGAGGAGGAGGAGGAGGAGGAGGAGAAGGAGGAGGAGGAGGAGGAGGAGGAGCAGGAGCAGGAGGAGGAGGAGGAGCAGGAGGAGGAGAAGGAGGAGACTCTCACTCCTGCGCCCTGGAGGGCCACAGGATGTGACACGCTTTTCCGCGGGACGCGGCGGAGAATGCTGGAACACTCATCGTGGCCCCCGATCGTGGCCCCCCACCGTGGCCCCCCACCGTGGCCCCAGCGTGCAATGAGAGCACGATGGCTGGAACAATGAGAGCGGGGAGGATTACTCAAACAGAGTGGCTCCAGACCGCCAGGATAGCGACGATGACACACTACGAGAGCACAAGAGGCGAGACGGGAGAAGGAGACAGATGCCGAGGAGGGCAGACCTGCCACTCCTCGTCAAATTATGAGACACGAAGAGATAACACAAGACCACCAACATACGCGACACCTACTACTCTGAGTACCTCTACTCCCCCGACTCCAAAAGGAGGAGCAACGACGACGACGACGACTACGAAAGGCGACGACGACGACATCGAAGACTGAATAAGAACAACGAGGAAGGAGGGAGGAGTCCTCCTACGATTATGAGAGACGCAGAGATGGCACAAAACGTCGTCCCCGCAAGCAGTCCGCAACAGTTGCCGTCGGCGCGACACCGGGACATCCAGCGAAGCAAACAAATGGGTGCGGTCGTTTTCTCGTCATTCGAGTGCTCTTGCCGTCCCTGCTGCTCTTCTTCCACCTCCTCCTCCTCCACCTCCTCCACCTCCTCCTCCCCCTCCTCCTCCGCCGCATCTATGCTCCTCCTCCTCAACCACCTCCTCCTCCTTCGCATATATGCCCCTCCTTCTTCCCTTCCTCTTCCTCCTCCTCCTCTGTTTCTTACTCGTCTTCCTATTATTATTCGTGATCGTGTTACTCTTCGTATGTAAATAGTGTCATCAGTAGTCTAATCTTCTAACTACTAGTAGTCGCACTAGTGTATGTATTATTATTCGTCGTATGATTATTAGTCGTAGTGATAGTATTGTTGTTACTACGAGTGTCACCATTACTGCGCTTAGTGTTAGCATTCCGATTCGCATTCGCAGTCTTAAGATGAGTGCTAGCACGAATTGTCTTATCATTAGTATGAT